TATGTGGGTTCGAATCCACCCTCCTGGGGTTACTGAACTTTTCACAATTTCAACATAAGACTTCAGTCTGCCGAACAGCAATTTGAACGACTACGTGTCAATACCCAAATCAAATAGATTCCGCTTAGTTTTCATTATCTAACTTGCGCTGACAGTGCGGATCACAAATTGCAAAACAAAAGAAGGGCAGGTAACTTACCACTGAAGTAGGTCTGATAGGTGAGCACATGCACAAACATAATCCACACCATAGTGATCACCCGGATCCCGTCCACGTGCAATAACGGATGAGATCGTAGTATCCCATGCTCGTCACGAATTTGTGCCGGTTGTGTATTCCACAGATTGTAGATGTTATAGGGTAGCGAAAACGCGAGTAAAAATCCACCACATAAACAGTATTTGCGGAAAAATTCTGAAAAAATATAGAGGCAAAAGGAAATACTGCACGGTATTCATCCAGATAGATATTGATAGTAAATGGGGAAGGGGATATTTTTATCAAGATTCCGTGCAATTGTTGGAATGTAAACAAACGGCATCTGCATGCGTTTTTAAGGATAGATGGTGGCCAGTTGTTCAGGGCACCAGTTTATGGCCTGGGAGTCCCGGGTTCGAACCGCTCCACCACCACCCGTCTTCTCTGATTCTATTTTTTCCCCAAGCAGCCTATGTATGGCCGCGGCCCTCCTTCCTGAATGTTAACTGTACATTTGTATATTCAATAAATTGAAAAAGGAAGTAAAAAGACACAAAGACACGTTGCACACAGGTAGGATTGGACGAATCAATGTAAATCTTGCCTCTTCTTCAGCCTAAATTGATCATCCTTTATTTTGGATAACTTAATCTGGAGATAAAGCATTTGAAGGTGTTAAGTCCCAAACAGTATCACTCATATCAGTGGTGATTCTTCCACTGTTAACACTGTACGCCTAAATGAGTTTGTAACAACTAGAGCCCAGCGTGGATATTCTAGTTCTGATAAGGAACGAAACTCACAACCCTGCGAATCTGGGACCTGGCTGTCACAAGCTCGGTAGGTATGCATTACTGATCACTTGTGACTGGAGATAAAATCAGTTGTACAGGACCTTACATTGGTATGTGTGGCACGGGCACGTCAACAGATGTATACCGTCATGGTTGTAACTTTGTATTGCAAACACTGCATTTAGTACTTTTGTCTGAATTGTATTAGTTTTTTCTCTATCGCTACAAGGCTTCTGTACAAAGTAATCGTATGATGTAACATCCTCCGAGGACATAATGTACCTTGGGGGTTTTATTTGCGGCTAATTTATCCCTTGAGTCTCTGCAAGCCTAAGCCACTCCAGTAACAGTTGTATCCCATCAAACTGCTTGACAAGCAGAATAAACTAATTTGCGACTTTTTAACGACGTCAGAAACAAAAGCAAAACGTAAGATGAGTGTAACCGGGCTAAACTACTCAATAAAACCACGGGAAGCATGCTGACCAGTCACTTCCAAGGGGATAAACGAAATGTACTGCCTGACTGAATGACATACACATGTGCATAGACTTTTAGGTTGTGCCAATATCAAAAGACTGCTGAATGGGCTATTTGAGGGTCACCGGAAATTACGCATGAACTCATTACTTTTCCTGCATTTCTAGGTGTAACGAATGGACAAGGAAAATGCCCAAAGTGATGAGAATCTGCTATTTATTTATGATCACTGTGATTTAAATTGGTCAACCACATGGGGCCTCAATAAAATAGCAATAGTTTTGAGCCGTACGACGGTGAAGCCGCCTTGCAGTTTGTACTTGCTTGTTCAAAGATTGGATGCGTATCTTTGATTAAAAATAAGTTTCCTTGCCAATTTCTTTTAGACGAGAATAAATCCTCGGGGGGGGGTGCATGAGAGCGGTTTTGCGCGCCAAAACGCCAGACAAAGAACCTTTGAGTAAGGTGTATCGGTAGTGATAAAGTATTCATCAGATTAACTAAAATGTTTTAAAAAAAGCTTCCAACATCTTCACGCCTGGCATATGACTCAGATTTTATCTTCTTACTAGTTATTTCCGTGATATATTCACAGAATGTTTACCCCAAGGAATTTATACAATTTTCCTCAAATTAGATGACAAAGCATTTAGCTCTTGATTCGTATAACTTCAAAGTCACAATTAAAATCCACGGAACGATTTAACAAACGTCAGAGTAAAAGTGAAAACTTTGGAGAAAACACGAACCAGCCCGGTATGTTTTATAGTCTGGGATAATGGATTGTTCTGATAAGCACTGGCTGCGCAAATGTTCCATCGTCATATCGGAGTGACCAATACCACTGCTAGAGGATGATGACAGGCCAGTGTGAACGTTCTGTATCTCCTCAGTGTTTGACGCAAGCATATTTGCGCGTATAAACTGTTGCAGGTCATCCACATGATTATATGCATACACGCGTTGCCACCTCTGGTAGAGGAAGAAGTCGACCAGGGAACCCAACAGTAGCAGCGTTCCGACGAAAGCACCGACAGTCCTATTCGAGCAAGAAAAGCATAGTAAAATGGTGAAAATTGATCCCATATCCTTAAATTGTGCAGTACCGGTTACAGAACGTATTAGGGAGCAAATGATCAAGAGAAATGAACTAAAAAGTTGCAAAATTTCTTCTCCCGAACATACGTGGAACGTACATAATTAGTTAACCAGTCCGAACTAGATGTATACGATCCGTATTATTGTATTTGTATTAAAAACAATACCAAATTATTCCTCACTCTGTTTGCAAACAACTTTGTTCATTTGAGACTGCATATAAAATTAGCCTAGTTTGACCTTCCTGAGATGAGACGTTTCGACTAAGTAAGCTAGATTTTGTTGGAAATTGTGTTCATGCACAAACTTCACTGGTAAAAGACACTCAGTATTTAACCATCAATTGGGTTCATCACAATGTCTGTAATCAGAAACTCTAACACGGTATATGTGATCAAGTGTCGTCTTCATGCCTCTCATATTGCGTCATTTCTGACCGCTTCTAGTCTTCTGGCATATAATGCCTATCTTGCACTGCATTGCACATGGTAGCGTACAAAACACAATTTCTAGTCATGGCTACACTTGGAGGAAAATGTGAGCAAATTACCTTCTATCAGTCAGGTCAATGATTGTACACATAATTATGATAATGCTACGGACATTTTATATACATCCTGTCTGTGAAAGTAAGTAGTGCGCTGCGCTTCACACGAAAAATGTTAGTTCAAGCACCTTACGCGGAACGTGCTTTCTTTGGCAGAAGGCTAGTTCACTGATTGAGTTGTACTCAACCAAACAGAAATTATCGATAATTTTTCAACCAATGTTTTTTCCAACCAGTACCTTGAGGTTAACTTAGAAAATTTCCAATCGTTATTATATTGCAAATTGTTTTGGACAAGATAAGACGAAAAGAAATAAGCGAAAAGTGTTCTAATTTTGTCTATCTTTTATCAATAAGAGTGGCAAAATTGGGATCTGCAAAGCGTTGTAAAACAGTTCTCTAGTTACTGAATTGAACGTCAAATGGAGATTGAAACAAATGGAATTCAAGGAAAGCCCCACCTCTGAATGGGCTATGACGAGTTTGATGAATTTCAATAACAGTATCATAGTGATGAAAAAGATAATATTATGTTGCTCACACGTGAAACTGGAAAGTCAAGTGAGAATTTTAGGACTCGAAGGGTCCCGCTTCGGTTCAGTATTCCGACTTTGTCCAGTGACTAGCCTGCCGGTGAGACTGTGGGTCTATATTACAAGCTGAACTACAGAAATAGCATCATTATATTTAGTAAATACTTCAAGATGGTTGCATACTAGACCAATATTAGGCCTGCAAACAGTATAGTCAAATGTCTGTCTATGTTATTGCTGCATTCAGCAACCAGTGAGTTACCAAAATGCATAGCAAAATAGGACACGAATAAATAGAAACCAGAGGGGGCCTTAAAACCGAATAACGCAAGAAAATTGGGCTCTCGTTGACATTAGCCGTTAGTCCTTTGATCTGAATGCAAGCACCTCACTCAAATTAAACGCCAATTGTTCTCAATAGGATTCTTTCGTATCCAATTATTACAATGTGAATTCACGCCATATTGTCAACCATTCACAAGTTTTAATATAGGTGGTTTTGCCTTGAAGGCATCTTAATCATAATTTCTCTCCCAGACTTTATCTTCTCTTTCTCTCTAGTTTTGCGAAAAGTTGAGTGCTGGCTTCCAGATGGTTGCACCAGTACTAAATTGAAAGGGTCGACACACTGAAAACATCAACAAATCTGAAAACCAATAAGTTGCCTAATCTGATGATAATGAAGATTTTCAAGCAAGTATTTTGAAAAGTCAATGAACATTAGGGGAAGCACATACACGGCGCAGATAAACCACGTATCCTTTTCCAAACTTCCGTGTCTTTCGTGGCAATAGGAATAGTTGTAGTCAACCTTGAATCCGGGGAGATAAAACACTGGAAGTAAAAACAAATGTTTTGGTTACTTCTCTCCGCTAGTTTGATAGCATCTTCCGTGGTACATGAGTCCGGAACGCACAAAGCCATTGTGAGGCCTATAGGCTGAAAGGGAATAAGTAATCATAAGAATTATTATTGAAAATATCTAGCACTCGGAATTCACGTACCACTGCAATTTCCGGATCATCCATCACAATCGGTATTCTAACATTGCAATATCTTCCCCTGATTTGGTCACCATTTACGTCAGCATTGATCAAATTGCACATTTCATAACTCCCCATCCATGTAAGGGAACCTCCACTCATTCCCGGAGGCATTTTACCAGACGCATCCACGACTAAAGAAGGAAAATAAATCTTTTGTTAATAATACGGTTTGAACAGTAGGCTCAGGGAAATCATCGGTGCGACTTACACTGAAATGGCCAAGTTTGACCTCTTGCAAGGGCACGAACAATCAAGGCGTAATCACGAAAACAGCTTCTGTCGCTTTGGTTGCCCATGTTTGCGGACATTATTATTTCCTCTTGATACCAGTTCAAATTGTATATTTGATTTAATTTCGAAAGTCTCTCAATCAAATACTGACGCATATCAGCACTTGTGGCAATCCTATTCATGGCATCTAGTTGATTGAGAGGATGCAGCTCGTTTCCGGATGACTTTTCCGGTAAGGAATTCCAAATGAAGAGACGTAATAGGAGAGAAAATATCCATACGTTGGAATGCATTTGACGTCCGAAAACCTGAAACGATAAAAGGACGAATATAATCCCGAGCTATGAATCTTAATATTCATGCAGATTAGGAACAGCGGGACTCATTTTTCAGCTTCAAACTATATATATATATATACTGCCAGCTGACGGAACGGGTTTCCGTCCCATTACAGTCCCATCAGAGATCCGGCGGAACTCTCTCTCCACAAAACAATATATTCAATCATCATCCAGGAATAACAGTTGAATTAATATTGCTGAATACGTGTACAGAAGTAACTAACAAAATCCAATTAACGTGGTGTGTATCACTGAACGTTGTGAAAACCTTAATTATTGCAATATCAACATTAGTGTTGAGTTTGTTTTAATGCATCCTTTGCCATTAATTCTCATAGCACCGCATTGTGCATAACCACTTTTCACGAAATGTATCTGTCCATAAATCGCGCGAATCCTCGCGCTTCGTTATCAGAAGTTCTCCGGCCAGGTTGGCATCGGAACGCCTTTTGTCGAAAGTGAACGTTCAAGAACAATTGATGGAAATTTTTATGGAGCACTATATGGCAACTCTGTAACAAACATTCCTTTGTGCCATACAGATGCAGTAAGTGCAAACAATCGTGATTACATTAGTGCAAGGAACGAGCTTTCCAATGAATAACAACCTAATGATGAGTCACAAGAAGGTCCAGTGTACTAAAAGCTTGTATGATATATTGTTGTGAGATACTACTCACTTGTGAGTAGTCGGTAACTTTCGGTGATTAAAAATAGAACAAGACCATCAAGGACCAAGTAATATATTTGGGAAGAATAAACACTGTCTGCTCTACCCATTGCCTCATGTGTCGCGATGTGCTGCGAAGGCATGTTTCTGATGAACTTTTCGTGTTATGCATGCAAAATTAGTGACCTTCAATATGTATTCTGCAATAGAAAGGTCTCCTAATCCAGCACCGCCTTTTCGGAATATAGCAATATGAATTACAATCTTTCCAGATCAGTTTGATGCTGTTCCCATGAATTCAATACGACACACTCGTTTGGAGACTGAAAGAAAGGTTGCTATTAAAGCCAAATAACATGTAAACCTCATAAACATTATGTTTTCAGAGTGGTGTGTGTTAAATCCTGTTTAACCGAAGAACAGTCGAACGCTGATAAGCAGTTCACGAACCACAAGCATGATAAAATTGGAAGCCGGTGATCAAACACGCTGCATACTGACGTCTTGTCTGAACACAAACATAGGGACCTTCGATTCCACTGACCTGACGGAAATACTTTCGCAAGTAAACATTGACGGCATGTCCTTGTTCCATAGCTCCCGCTTGCAATTTTGACTGATTCTATGCCGGCTTATTGGTCCCAACGCTCCAGTATTCCTCGTAGGTTTATTTTGTGATTACCACAAACCGAAGAATGTTCAAACTTTTCTCCACGAGTTTATACCTGACGTGAAGACCCTGCTGGAATTGTGAGAATGACAGACATATTCGCGTTGTTCTCCATAGCATCGTGTGTGATGCACCTGCCGGAGCGTTTGTGAAACGGATGAAGCAACATTCAGCTGCGATCGGTACAAAGTATCCGGTCTATATATATGACCTATATATGACCTACCCAATGGAGCTCCACACCCTTAGAACAGGCATTTTGCCTTAGTTGAAAACAACAGGACCACCATGTCGGTAACTCTCTGTTTGGGGTGATGCCTATCAATATGACAACACAATTTACAACTGATTACATGCCTTATGTGTATATCTAGGATTTGTAAAACATTTGATTGGTTTGTGGCCAACTGGTAAACTTAGCCATTCTATTAGCTTACCCCCATCTGTATTTTGTCAGATGAATATTGCTTTTGATCGACTAATTCATTAATTACCCGTTGACTTTCCGCGCAAATATCGCGGTTTTCCCTACTACGAACGTTGGAAGCCCAGTTTAATGTGGCAAAAACCACCGCGTGTGTTGTGCCTTAATTGTGTTAATTTGTCAACGTGTTTTGATATGTTATCTTCAAATTCGTTATTAACTCATTATGTATTTTCGAAACTTTATGAAATTATTGGTGAATTTCGAAATATGTTTGGTGTCCATGAATGTGTAGATAATGTGTATTGTATTACGCACTTACATGGTGACCCTCAGTTATTTGGATCTATAAGTAATTTCTTAGCTTTTCCATTCGAATTGTTCTCGGGAAGAGTACGTAAGCTTGTTCGATCACTCACGATGTCAGCATCGCAGATGTTTTCCGCCTTTGCAAATCAATAATGTGAAACATAGATACCAAATGATACAGGTATATCAATTAAGCGTGCTTTTTTCTATTAACGATTTTTCACATTGAACAGGATGAAACTGGGTGACCGTTCCCCGGATAACCATGTTATATTTAACAACAAACCCGAAATTATTAC